GCACTTCAATGATACCGCACCGCTGTTACAAAGTCGAAGTAATAATTAATTCAAAGCACAACATCTCGGCTAACTTAAAAAAGCTCTCAGGGTGAGTTTGTCATTACTTGCATATTTTTTGTTTGGAACGTACTGTGACCAATTCTTGTGAGGTTGGTCGGATATTCTCTGTGAGTTGATTTTGGTAAAAAAATCAGAAATCGTAAAATCCAACAAGTAAATGGAGAGACTATTAGAATTCAACTTGCATTTCAAATGTTACTAATTCACTATAGAGATATAGCCACGCAGCAGATTTTTCTGTTGGTATTTTTCTGTTTTTCTGTTGTATTATTCTGTTGTACAGCAGTGTTTGTACTTTTGCCTTCAACTTTTTTTATGTGAGAAGGTGGCAAACGATCTGGCGGTTCACCTGATGTTAGTTGATGACCGCCACCCATTGACAATTGCAAAACTCATACGGTTGCAGATGCGTTAGCACCTTTAAATAAAGTGATCAACGGTTATCATACTCACCAGACGAAACACAGAAGTATAACACTACCAGTTCACGCCGGTCTTCCGTGAGGTCGTGCTACCTACCCGGACGGAGCTGCTCATTCGTGCAACAGTAAAGACTGGCATTGAGGTGGCCCACGGCATTGCGTTGCCAAGATTAAAATAGTGGGCAACGGTTAACATACTCACCAGACGAAACGCGAAAGAATAATACTTCCAGTACAGTATTCTATGAGACTGACGTGCACGAGGCTGCCCATTTATGCCACAGCCGATGTCCCGTCTCTATTCATTGTACAAAAACTTTGGCGACCCTAAAGTGGCGGAGCGCATTTTTTCGCGCGCCCTCGCGGCTCCGCCAGAGGGTGATTTATGGGAAAATTTAGAAGCGGCCTTTAATACCAACGAGCCTTTTAAATCTCGTCCCTTTGTAGATGCCGGTGGAGCGATAACCTAATTAACAAACGTTATATATCAATGGCCGGCCGGCGAGCAAATACGAGAGCTTATTTATTAACGCCTTGCAAAAGCTATAATGTACGCGCGACAGATTTTAATCGCTTTTAATCGCATATCTGCAATTGGCGTTCGCGCTTGTTAAGGATAATGTGCACTTAATTAACACTCATCACGTTATGTATACGGCTTATCTTTGAAAGAATATAATTTCCAGATGAAAATTGAGACATTTAACCATCTCCAAGGAAATTTCCCACTGTTAAATCTTACAATTTTCTGAGTAACAACCAAATAATAGTCTAACAACCATCAATTATTAAATGAAATAAAAGCACCGATTGAGTAGTATTCCTCTATTATTTTTTCGTGAACATCATATTGAATCTAATGACACCCCATATGTTGAACGACAAACGGCTTAACGTGTTCAAGGTTTAGACATACGAGTACATAGAGTCGGGTAAAAATGATAAAATGTTGATAAAACTTTACACAGAATGGACAGAAGTTCGTGTAATGTTAAATTATGATGACAGTGCCTCCAAACGGCGAAACGGCGACGAAGCAAAGAGAAATCGAGCGAAAAATTACGACAGTAATTTTAGTTTGAAAGAACTTCGTTGAATTAAAATGGAAAATGGTAAAAGATACGCCACATTGGAAGCTTAATACAATTATCATGATTTATTTTACTATGATTACTTTTTACTTATCACTGTTACACGCATGGTGTATTTATGCTGTACCCATATGCTGTATCACTGTACGAACTTCGTGTTGAAGCCTTGAAGCCAAGCGATTTCAAATTTTTTACCTTATTAGACCGTGGCCTATACTAGAGTATACTATTCCTCCTGACATTGATAGGTGTACGAAGTAGTGACTATGAGTATGAATGTTTTGAGTAATGGTGTAACACTTTTTTTTTATGTGAAAAGTTGCCAGGCGAGCAGGCGGTTCACCTGATATTAAGTGAATACCGCCGCAAATGGACATCTGTTACACCCGAGGGTTGCAGGTGCGTTGACAACCTTTTGAAAATTGGGCTCCGGCTACCTCACTCAAAAGACGAAACGCGAAAGTGTTATACTTCCACTTGACGCCGGTCTTCTGTGAGGTCGTGGTACTTACCCGGACGAGCCTGCTCATTCGTGCTACAGCCGAGGCTGATGCGTGGCCCTACCACCGTAAAACAACAACACGGTCGCATTCCATGAAAATCGATGGAGCCGTTTCCGAGATTCAGATTATATATATGTGTGAATTGGTAGTTTAAAAGTTATTAAATGACTCCCTTACCAGACTGAATTGTTGTTTGATCAATTATTGTTACCCGATTCAACGCTAATGTGACTAATACTATGCACAATTTCGCGGTCCTTCTTCGAACGAGCCTGCCCATTCATGACACAAAATAAATTGTTCTCCAGCAATTGCTGTCTAGCAGCTGCTGGTCAAAATTTACGCTGCTGATTATAATACATATATGAAAGTTTTTATATAAATGAAAATCCCTGTTAATACTATTTACAAACAAGTATATTCATTTGTTTGTTGTTTCACGCGTCGAAAGAGCAAATATAAACGTGATTCGTTTTTAATTTGCTCTTTTTTCGATTTCGTTTGATGCTTGGCGCTTTCGATGCTCTTCTTTCTTGATTTCGTTTTAAGTCTAAAGAATGATTCTAGGCCTTTACATATTGTCTACTTAATCTAAATAGGTAATCACGAATGAAGCCGCGGGCAATTTAAGCATAAGTATCAAATAAATATTTATTTATTGCTCTCTACGAGTGAAGTCATCGCATCATCGTTCTTAATGATAGAGTACTGTTGAAAGTTAGTTATACCGTATATATTTCCAGTAGAACTAGTAAAACCTTATTCATATTTGGCATATCTTCAAAATGTATCAGACATTAAATATTTTCAAAATATTGTGTTCATACTCGTTTAGACAGGGCTTACTTACTTCGCGATGGTAAATCGGGACTAAAAAAAGCAAATAATAATTTAACTGTCTCTAGGTAAAGTAATATATTTATTCTTAAATTTTAAAAATTCTTACATATATATGGCCCTACATGTTCATTTTTTGTGTTTACGCGATCTCGTGACCATGTATTGAGTAACGTGTTCAAAAACATCCGTTAATTAGTTTTATTCAACAACCTTACATTGATAGTTTTATTACTAATATTCTATTAGAACTGCAGATGTTTTTGGAAATTTTTGTTAGTATTTACCCGCTGTCGAAAAACGTAACCTTGCTGCGTTAATGTCTTTGTATTTAGAGATTTGCATATATTTAACATATAAGGTGAAAGAGTTAATTAATTTGGGGTATTCTTTCGGCTCGACCCTATTTCGTGCACGGCGGTGATGGAAACTTGCATATTTTCGAAACAATAACAAAAAAAAATATGATAAAAGAGATATTGTGAAGTCCGCTAATCCGAAGTGGGGTTGCGTTGACTATGCTCCAAAACCCTCTGTACGGTGGAGGCCAGTAGTGGGACAAATTTTATTTACTTTACTAAAAGGTAGCAGAAGCTTGAAGCTAAGCTAACAACGCTTTGACCACCCCTTTGCTAATGTCCATTGGCCTTGGTGGATTGGTGATCGCTCATCAGCTGCTTGCCCGTTTGCCCCCGCCATTAAAAAACAAAATCCGCGACATCTAAGGAAAAACATTCTTCCAGCAATATCTGAAACCATTAATTTTTGATTGCATCCAAGGGATTATGCCATAAGAGATATCAATTACATGTACTATCTACTGCTTTTTCAAAGATGTGCAAATTAAATATATTCCCCGCAATATCTGTATCTCTTTTTTTTAAGTATTTTATCATTTACATCATCTTAAAATTTTATCCGTAACATCAGCCGACCGCAATCTATTTTCTTTATTATTATTCTATCTATTGGATCATTTCATAAGAGATGTCAATTACAGGTAGTTATACTATCCACCTTCTTTTGACGGTGTGAAGGAACCGTGAAGGAGGGACGTGGTCGGAACAGATTCTACGGAAAATGGTCTATTAGAAAACGATTTCTAATTGGACTTGTTTGCGGTCCTTTTTTCAGTCTAACTCTAATGCAACTGCATGCAACGGTGGCACTTTTTTGGCGATCTCAGCTCATAATGGTCCAGTAAAGACGAAATATTTTCAATAGATTATTTTAGGAACAAATTCGTTTTATGTCTATAAAGAAGTTATAAATAAATCATTTCTACTCCAGACGTTTCTATACCGCAGTTTGGTTTCAGTTCAACCACCTTTCCGCTTCATTTTAGCTTTACAAACGGTATCGTTATAAAAACTAGCTTCGGACTAGTTTTTTTTAGCTATTCTTAGCCAATATGACTCGATTTTTCATTACACAATTTATCCAGTTGAATTATAATTACCTTTTCCGAAAGTTAAGTTTGCATGATTATCTTGCCATCTAGTTTCGAAAATTCTCTTATACTTTCTTTGTAATCTTTATGTAGCTCTGTTCTTCAATTCAATTATAGACTTCAATGCATTTTTTATTGCTACCTAATTTTTAATTGTTTTATCTATATGTTAATTACTTTATCATTTCTACATAGAAATAGTTGAACTTGTGGGATGATCTTCTATGTAAAATCTAGTTATTTATTTGAAGACATCCTTGAATATCAATTATATTCATTAGTATAAATAATATTAAATCTGATTAATTATTTAAAGCAGGTTAAAGCAATCCGACGTTATTCCACTTCGTGTTGTAGCGGTTTCATTTATCACCCAACTCCAGAGTTTCTTCAAAAAGAATCCTCTCTCACGGAACAAATGTTAAAGCACAAAATCACACGTATCAATTATTCGCGGCCGTTTCATTTAGCCGGCGCAATTTATAAAGGTGAGAGATTCTTAATAACGCTCATTCATCCTCGAATCGGTGTATAATTCAAATCTCCTTCGCCGTACCGTCGTGATTTACATACGCCAAATAAAAAAGCGGTGTCATCACAAAAGACATTTGGGGGCAATATAAACATAATATCAATTTAAATTCCTTGTTAGTGAGACGAAAGCCGACATCATACCTGAACATTGGGCACGGCGATTGGCCGGGGACCAGCCAATGGCGCTCGTTGCGATGCGTTCGGTTCGGTAGAGCGGGCACCTCTCGCCGAGCGGGCGGGCCGACCGCGCGAGCTCTCCTCGCCTCAGTTCCTCTTCACACCTCGTACCGAAGTGACGTGACCGAGCGCGCTCTTTGCCCATTCACTCACTGAAGATTCAATTTTAAATTTTAAACTTCAACCGCGCCAAAGTGACAATGCCGCGACCGTCGCGCGAATCGTACGGTGACCAAAAGCCGCCGTATTCGTACATCTCGCTCACGGCCCTCGCGATCTGGAGCTCGCCAGAGCGCATGCTGCCCCTGTCAGAGATATACCGCTTCATCACGGACCGCTTCCCGTATTACCGGCGCAACACGCAGCGCTGGCAGAACTCGCTGCGGCACAACCTCTCCTTCAACGACTGCTTCGTGAAGGTGCCGCGGCGGCCCGACCGCCCGGGCAAGGGCGCCTACTGGACCCTGCACCCGCAGGCCTTCGACATGTTCGAGAATGGCTCGCTGTTGCGCCGCAGGAAGCGCTTCAAGCTGCAGAAGGGCGAGAAGGACAATTTGAATGCTGAGCTGGCGGCGCTGGCGAGTTTCAACAGGGCGTTCCTAGCGCGCCAAGCGGGTGCACCGCCGCCGCCGCCGCTGCCGACCGGCGGCCTCTACTCGCCTTCCATGTGCCCGCACGTAAGCCCAAAGCCCGCGGAGCTGCCTGAGGTGTCGACTATGACCATGCTACCAAGGGAGAGGCCGCGCAGAGCGTTCACGATCGACGCGTTGCTGGAGCCAGAGCCGCCGCGATCCCCCCCATCGCCGACGATGCCCCATCTCGGCCTCGCCATGCCTTCTCCTTACATGCTGGCTGCGCAGCGGTACCACGCCGAGCTCCTTCAGGCTGCGGCCCAAGTCCGTCTCTGTTACCTACCTCCTCCGCCGATGCCGGTTGCGTGACACCCGACACTGCCGACATGCCCCGTTTTGTGCAATTTTAGATTGTAAGTACCGAACATTTCTTAACAGGCCACTGTACTCATCCCAATTAATACCGTACACGCGTCAACAGCGGACGGCTGACAGTATGAACAGTACTGAATATGAATAGTAAATAGATTAATTGTAAATTTAGTGTTTAATAAGAAGTCGATGACAAAAATGACAAGAAGCCGGTATTAACGCGACGCAATTATTGGGCAGGCCGCGGTGTGTTGAGGCCTAAATTAAATACATGGAAAATGGGGCCGACGCGTTCGTAAACTAACCATTTCTGCCTCGAAATATTCCTTTGTAGAGTAATCTAGTGATCTCACCTGTAGATGAACGTAGTTTGTGATCAACCTAGAAGTTATTTATTTTCATTCCGTGGATATAAAAGTCTTTTGAATTTAATATGTTCCTGTAAAACGATTATGTATGATTTGTGTGGTGTACGTTCTTTTAAGTGATAACGTTAAGTCAGTATTGTGAATATTTCTAGAAAGTCGTTAGTAGATTATGTAAGTGCAAATTTTTTTTAAGTTTATGTGTCGCGCGTCTCAATGAATGTTATTTATTTTTTCGTAAATTAAGATTACGTAATATTGTTGCTATTGTAGATATTCCTCACTATTGTAAATATTGTTTTTCATTGTTATTATTTCTAGTTATATTAAATGGAATAATCATTATTACTAAGTTTTGTTTTATTCTTCTAACCTGTTGTAATTAAATATATAAACTAGATTGTTAATTATTAGCATCTTCTAATGATCCGCGGTTATTCTAAAAAATGTCTTAACACAGTTCATTTTATAAAATGTGTTTAAGATTAACATTTTTAATTTGAAGCTAATAACAAAAGAACAGCCATTGATGATAACCATAAAACCGAAATGCCAAATCGAAATGTCATATCAGTTCTATGAATAATATTAGTATTAATTATTATGTATAACTTTCTTCATAGTTTTTTAACATAAATAAGCGATGTTTATTACATATTTCAATATAGCGTTAACATTGTAAAATGTTGAAATATATAAAATATTCATGAGACGGGTTTTCTCTGTCTCAGAGTAAACAGAATTTATTTTGAGAGATATTTTTTTTTCCTTAGAGTGATATATTGCTCCAATTAAGTTATTTAATCTTTTGTTGCTTTCAATAGGTTTTAGAGGCGCTTCTTTAGAAAACTTCCGGTAAGAATACGAAATCAAAAATGCTCTTGGATCTAATTTCTTAGTTTTGCCGTCGGGAAAGAAGTTTATTTCTAATCCAATTCCAAATCTCCATTAGAAGACCTTATTTCTAATCCAACGCAGTTTGCCGAACTGCAACTACACTGTTATGGACGATTTTGTGAAAATTAATGAACGGGTCATAACCGCTCATTGTCCTGTTGCTCAAAGAGCTCGGAACAACGTGGAACAAATTAGGTAGCGGTTCGTACGATCGGTTGATTAGCGGTCGCTCGTGAATATCCGAGATACCAGACGATTGCCAGATACCAGACGCCTTGCCAACCTTAAAGAGAATGCGTCTCCAGCTAAACGCAAATGTATAGTACCTCCATTTCACGCTGGTCTTTTGTGAGCCCGTGCTACATCCTCGGACATGCCCATTCGTGAACAGACGATACTGCTACGTTACTTCAGTTATTAACTGACAAATAAATAATTACATCAATAATAAGTGTTATAATGCATGTTAATTTTTTAAATAAGACTCTGCCGGTTAGCCTTAGCCATATTCGTCACTTAATACTATAATTTCTGTTTCCATAGAACTAATTGAATGTTATGGTTGACGAGAGTTTCAAATTACCTCAACTACGCGTTTACTTCGCCTGTGACAAATTTACACTCGTAATGAATGTTACGAGAACTTGACGTCGACGTGGGGGGGCTTTGGAAAGTCGAACAAAACGCGCTTCGGCCATAGGACCTCCTTCGTTTTGGAAGCCGGTTAAAAACTGGCCACCGAAGTAGGCCTTTTCACGGTGTAACTCGGCGCAACGGAGCGCATTTGTGCCCTAATAGATCGTGGTATCGCCGCGTTGGCCGATTGCCGACTCATCGACCTCCTTACGGGCGACACGGCGGGGAATTTGGGGAATCCGGCCTGGGCTTCCGTTTAAGTATATAGTCGAATTTAATATATAAACAGCTATCTGTGTGCCTAACGGAATACACACAGAGAGTTTGAAAAGATTGATAGTTATTGTTTTTAATCGGATTTAAATGGTATTTTTAATTGTAATGAAGTTCGATATTTAAAGACAAAGAAAAAAGAAAATATTGGGCAAGAGATTAACACACATAAACATACTTTTATTTTTAAATAAATAATTGTGTATTATTTTGTAAACTCAGCTTATATTGAATTATTCCATTTGAAATATGTATAATGGGCGAATTGAAGCGTATGCCTAATTATCATCGAACATTAGGTGAATAGCGCTTATACTTTCTTTAGAACAATTTGGTATGACGTAATATTAAATTATTATTTGTAAGAACCACTTCACTGTCCGTGGAAGCCACCTCGACTTCAAAGTAGTCCAGAGAGAAGTGGAACTACGATATTTTAGCCTTTCGTTTGGTGGGTTGTTTTTAAAGATTTGCAACGCACATGAATCCCCTTAGGTATGTACATATCAACGAGCCACAGTAATTATGTAACATCAGGTCTTCGTCTTCGTTTAATAAAATTTTTGACATTTCATAAGAACGCGCAAGCGTCTATGTGAATAAATATAATTTTGATTTTGATTTTGAATAAATATTTTCGGACACATTTTTACACAACGTTCTCTTGTCCCAAACTAAAAAAACTAAGTAAAGCTTGTACTATGGGTACTACAAAACTGATAAACATACTTAAACATACTTTTTATTTTGTAAATAAATACAAATTTTACATAAATAAACACCCAGATACTGGAAAAACACTATGTTCATTACATAATATTTTTCCAGTAGTGGGGATCGAACCCACACTCTCTGGCGTTATAGGCAGCTTCACAACTCCCCACCCCAATCGGCTGAACCAACTGCCAATTTTTCCCTCAAAAAGCGTGAAGTACTACAACACCCGAGAGCTTGCAGATGCGTTGATAACCTTTAAGCTTTTTACACCTCCCCTGGTTACCTTACCAGATGAAACGCGAATGTTTAATACTTCCACTTCACGCCGGTTTCCTGTGAGGCCGCGGTACTCCCCTACTTGAGCCTGCCCATTCGTGCAACAACAGAAACTGTTCAACACAGTTTTTGTCACATTCAGCGTTTGAGTCGTATACTAAGCGCCGCTTCTATACATTACTCGAAATGTGTGGCCATTAAATTATGTATTTTGTAGACGTATCAATATCAAAGCGGTGATTGACAAGCAAACACATAGTAGTATAACTGGGAAACAGCGACAACAATAAACTACAGGCGTGACAGACACCAATAACATAGAATAAACAATCTGTTTTCAATATGTCAATAAAGTTGGTGACGAATTTCTTGTTATTGTTTTATCTATGCTTTAAACAATCATATCATACACCTTATTTTTCTTCTACTTAGTTCATATAATATTTTATCCTTATATCGTTTTTCTTCACGGCTGAAAACGCAGTAAATCAGAATGTAGTCATTTATATATGTAATTTTATTAGAACATCGAGGTGTAATAATTTAATAGAGTAAGTTGTTGTTATTTTGGAGAGTTTAACCATGAAATGGGACAAAATACAAAATATCATCCATTCCATCTGATTGTGCAGTTCTTATTCCAGTATTAATTAGTTATTCCTAAAGTTTCAATCAGAAAATAAATAACATTAATTTATACATAATTTTCACTATATGAATGAGACAACTGACAAAATATTTTACATCCAAATATGTATGTCTCTAGAAAGATTTCTAGAGACTTTTTCTGCAATAACAAAAACTTAACCTTTTTTTAAAGATATAAACAGATTATAGTGCGCTTCGGAACTTTTTGCTATGTTCAGTTTTTCAAAGCTCTGGAACGACTTCCGAATCGTAACAAATTGGATCCACGTTATAAGTTACCTTGAAACCACCTTAGTCATCACGTAAACTATAAATAAACATCGAAAGATATCAGAAGCCTTTAGATAGAATAAAACCTTAGCTAGAAAACTTGGATAGAACATATCGAATGTAAGAAAACATCTTTGCTGTAGCCCACAAAATAGTACCTTTTCACCATAACATAAAAACCGATGAATCGTAGTAATCGTAATTAAATTTTTTTACAGGTCGCTGGTAAGACATTACATTTTATTTGTTTATTACTACACTTTTTCGCTTACAGCAAATAGTTTTCTGAATGATAACGAATTGTCGCTGTTAAATTCACATAGCTGCTCAGCTACCTAAGGCGACAGCACAAATAAATTTGACGAAAATTGCATTATTTAATAAAACATTAATATTTCCCATCTACAAAACAATGCTTCAAATCATATGGTAATGACTTTAAAGCTTTTTTACGAGTTCAAATCAAACAATAAATATTTGTAGAGGCAGCTGTTTTAGAAGGATTATTAACGAAACCTACAATAACAATCGTCCGGTCCTTGCCACTTCTGTTGACGTTTTTGTTATACGAAAACGTAAGAACGCGCTAACCTATAATTTAGTTATTAATATCCAACACATTGTGTCTGTCCTTTTTATGTTCGCTTTTCGGAGCGTTTCTGACGCCGGGTATCGTAATTATTGTTCCGAAAATAGCAGCTTCGCGTTATAATACCGAAAAATGTAGAAAACTACCCAACACTCGCGTTCCGTAATGGCGCTTTAATGTTGCGATTTCAGTTTTAAACCTCGTTTGACATAAGCTATTTTAAAGTTTTTAGCGAATGCAATTACATAAAAAAAATTAAAAATATATGTTTTATACTTTTATAACGGTACTAGGAAATGAGAAAACGTTCTTGTATTTCCTTA